TCTCTCTCTCTCTCTCTCTCTCTCTCTCTCTCTCTCTCTCTCTCTCTCTCTCTCTCTCTCTCTCTCTCGCTCGCTCGCTCGCTCTCGCTCTCTCTCTCCTTTTCTCATTCTCTTTATACTGAACGAGAAACAATCGAGGCCATAATTCCGACTAATTGAGCCAGTCGACGATGCAATTAGGACAACGCGAGACCGAGAGAAACTGTCCCCGCGGGGCGACCGTCGAATTCGGTTTTCTCCGGGTTTTGTTCGCGGTTAGGAAAACAAAGAGCAATCAACCGTCAGCGGGGCGGAGTGCGATGCGCGACGGGGGTGGGAGGTTCGTTATTTATCGACGCCGGCAGTAGGAGTACCAAATTGGGCTGGTCGGGTTCGATCTCGGGGCCGCGTTAATATTCCGGCCACGTCGCGCGGACGTGTACTCGCCGGTCTACGAGGGCACATGTATATCGGGCCGCGAGGATGCACAACACAAGCCGCTGAACGAACGCGATCGCCGGCTTCGACCGCGTCTCGTTCCACGTCGTCCGACGTGCACCCACGATTTTCCTTATTCCTTTGGGCAGCCGCAGGACACGTCGACCGGTGATCGATTTTCTCGCGACGAAACCGATCCGTGTCGTCGCGCGTGATGAACCCTCCCGACCTTTATGCAGCTCGATTACTTTCCCTGTTCAGTCTTGAAAAGAGTACACTTTCAGCTCGACCGAGACTTCGAGTGGCAGATAAATTTGAATTGAACGCGGAGCGAAATTGAATCTCGTGGCGTAGAAGTTGGCTCGTTAGTCGGGTGGTTCTTTGGTTAATATTTTCCGTATCCGAGGATGAGATTGTATTTTCAGTAGGATTCGGGAGATCTTGCTTAAAAGACTGGGTATAAGTTTCGATGAAAGTTGATTCTCTTTTAACACAATTGCTCGCGTGAAACGTTCTGCGCCAGCTCGAGAACGCGCACTGCTAATTGGCATTGCAACCGAAATCTCCGGGAACCGATACATGTCGTCCTCGTATAATTGTGTATAATGAGGGGATGCAATACTGCTCATGCCAGTACTACATTCCGAGTTATCGCAGGAATGTTCAATGGCAAAGTAGTTGGCATTCCGAGAGCAATGGTTTAAAGGGTCATTCTGGTTGCAAGATCAAAGAGTTGGAAAATGTTTATGATACCTTTTGGTGAAGACAACGAAATAAAATCCAATAAAATGTGAAACGGTCTCAAAACTTATTCGCATTCTGGGCTGCTAGCCCTAGCGACAATAGAAATACACTTGAAAGGAACCAACAGCAGCCGAATCATTCGTGCTATGAGGCACTCGTTGTTCCAGCGGTATTGAACTGATCGAAAATCCAAAAAGAAATCAACTCAAATGATCTTAACACGTACAGTACGAGTCAGTCCCTGACAGTAAACTTTCCTTTTAGGTGACATTGCTCCCTAGTGACCCATAGTATCAATTTTGAGGAATAATATTTCGTAAACCATACGATATTAACCCTTTGCGGACGAATGTCGACATTTCGATGAGATAATACGTTCATATTTGGAAGATTATGTCGCAGGCAAATGATTCGATTACTTGGACAGCAAGAGATTAGCATGTAGTTTCTGTTTTTGCTATCATTTAAGCAATTAATATATAATTTAACTTCATTTGTTGAAGGTTTTGTACATTTCAAAGAATCTTTGTCCGGAAAGGGTTAGAAACTTCGTTCATGTCCTACTGATAAATTTCATGAGACCATGCTAAACAAACAAGATGTTTCCCATTACATGTGTCAGTTACGTACAAACGCAACTTTTCCATTCACGCGCCTAAATAGAAAGCAAGGCAAACTGAGCTCCGCGTTGAACGTGTCAACCAGAACAGCCCCTTAAAGAGCATACTCCTTCATCGTTGAATCTTTTCCCCGAAGAATCGTGAACCGTGATCGGGAGTGGTGTGTGAAGAAGGTTTCCGAGCGATCGTCCGAGGCACCATGAGACGTCGCAAATCCCCGTTCCCCGTGGGCCACGGGGTCGCGATGTAAACGCGCGGCGGAACGGCATGGACATTCGCGGAGGCTCGAGTCGCACGGCGGGCCGTTCTGTCGCGTATCCGTGTGCGCGTCCGCGCGAACTGCCGTCCCGGGGGTGAAACTGAACGCGATGAGAACGCTGGCAAGAGTAACGAGGATGGACGAATTCGTGAAATAGCCCGGCGGGAGAGCAAGCGAGCGAGCGAGCAGGCGAGAAGGCAAGCTTCAAGCTAGCGGGCGAGCGAGCGCGAGCGAGCCACCACGCCGTTGCCAGACCGCGCCGCTTCACAGGCTACAGCTGCAAAACGAAAATGTCGTGGGCCAGGATAGCCAGTGCCGCTCAACTTGCGGCAGCAGTGGCCGTCATCCTGAGGATCCTGCTCGCGTCCGCGGACCCGTTCACGTGCCTGGAAGAGCAGACCTACGAGCAGACCACCTACACGGTGCCTGTCTCATCCACGGAGAACGACACCGACAATTATGGAGGTAAATCGAGAGGAGTGCTGGTCGTGCGAAAATTTCCTGTTGACGGGGGCACGGGGCTGCTTTCGAGCGTTTAGCGGTTTGGGCACCGGTGCCTGGAGTTTGACGCTTTGGTGGGGGTAAGGGTACGGGAATAGGGTCTACGGAAACCTTAGCCCCTCGTCTTTATGATTTCTTTGCAACTGTGCTCATTGAGGTTGTTCCATCGTTAAGAATACTGTTCGGGATATTTTTAGTTTGTTTTTGTTTGCCCGCGATGTTTAGGCGGTGAATCGTGTATTTCGCGTGTTGAATTTGAATCATTTGAATATGTACTTGTCGGTGTTGGTTTTCAGGAGAATCGAGGTTGAATGTAAAAGAAAGTTTTGAATTTCTTGAAATTGTTTATGGGTTATGTGTGAAGCGTGTAGGATATTCTCAGGTGTAAGGGTCTGAGACAAAATCTGAGTACATCGTGCAATAGAGCGGATTCTTTTCCCACGGGAATATCAAAGAAAGCTGCTACCGAGATTTCGTTTTCGATTGGGGAAATACAATAGTTCCACGAGAACACGAGGTACCGACAGTGATTCTCAACCTAAAGGATTGTTTGATATTTCGCTTGGCGCAACGCGACTCTGTCATGCATGCATGCATGAAAGATTATTCAAATATCTAAATGCACGGAAATCCGCTAGTGTTATAACATTTTAATTCCAATGATTACTGTCAAAATAAAATCCACTGTATCTGAACAAAGAAATCTCTATGCTATCCGCAAACGGGAGTTCTATAGATCTACCAATCTAATAGTTTTTAGAATCTTTTTCCCGAGTCGATCGCAATATTGTAAAGTAAGAGTTAGTGCAGCCTTGACCGGAACAACTGAAAAGAAGAAAAGAGTCTTCAGTTGTTGCCACAATTGTCGAGGAACCCCGGAGGCGAATTCGTTGTCCATGCGGCGTTCTTTCAGGTTTCTTTAATACTGCAGTCGCTGGTTTGTTACGTATGAAGATGTTGGTCCGACGGTGGAAATGAAAGTACAGGATTTCTCGAGATTGCCGTCTCGTTAGATTATAGCTGCTATTACGTGGCCAGCTGTACAAGAAAATGCTAGGTGACTTTCTTGCCGCACGTTTTGTTTCAAATCTGATGTTATTACGCCGGCCCGCATGAAATTTCTTCGAAGTAACTATATCTTGCAAATTAAATATGATAATACCGTCACCTTTAATTTACATCATTGCTCGAAAATATATATTATTTCTGGTTCGGCCAACGGCTCGTGTTCATCGCGCAGGTAAAATGGAAACAGGTGTTTCAGTTTTTATGTAATTAATGTTAACAGGTATAAGCGTTAGAAGCATAGCAAGCGTTTTAAAACAATAAACGTGTCGAGCATCCTATTTTCTCGTTCTCTTTAACTCTTAGTTAAATAGTTTAGCAATAATATTGGACGATTGTTTTTTCTCTGTAAAGGGTTACATTCGTAGTGAATTTTAGAGACGAATACTGCGAGTTACTAATTATTTGTCAACGTTAAGAAATCACAATGTTCTTCCACGTTTGCTAACTTGTTCGCGAAAGCGCAGCTGAAAGACTTTTTGAGCACGTTTCAAGAGGATCAGAGCCTCATTAGAAATACCGAGGGTTACGCGTGGAAGAGATTTCGCATCCAGAAACTGAGGTGTCTAAAACCACTGCCGCATGGTCCTCTAGTTTTAGCATTCTTTTTGGGAACACACACCATTTCACGCTTCAACCCGCGTAATAAACGACACAATCACTTTTAATCCCTCTGTCTTTACGCGAAACGAACACAAAAGACGAGCGGAACATATCCGATTAATTGCTGGCGCCGTTGATCCGACAATGCTCCTCGAACTCCGATAAATAAACACGAACCAAACAATGCAGACGCGAATGAAACGCTGGACGTTTCATTATCCGGGACTTTTTAATTATCTTCTTCTCCGCAGAATTTATGAACACGGTTAATTCGCTTAAATGTGTCGATTCCGGGTATAAAAAACAGCAACCGACGAATTTGCCATCCGTGAGAAAAGTTAACGCTCTCTGCGGAAGTATCAATAAATGCCGTGTTCGGTTGTCGGTCCGTTAAGTCCAATTAAAAAAAGAGTTCGGAACGTTTCGTGGAAACGTTCCCCCGTTCGTGGAAAACGCTCCGATTATTTTCATTTATGACTCGGTTAATTGGTTCAATGTTGACGCCGAAAATGGCGTAACGAAGCCAGCGCTGTTGTAGCCTTTCGTATCGTTGCGTTCATGGCTTTTGCCTCCAGACATTCGTTTCGACCCGTTAATTGTCATTATCCGATTAATTGCAACGTTCGGTTAGCCGTGGCCGTATCGTCAACGCGATAGTGCACCGCCGAAATAATAGGTCACCGTTTGGTTAATCGAATATTCGGGCAGTCGATAAAATCAATTAAACCGAGTGCCCTAGCATTTCACGGAAATGCTTTGTCCAACAGATTGCCGACGATCCAACGTTTCCAGAAGCCGAAATAAAATCAGATTACAGTTTTTGGCGAACAATTAGTCTCAGTTAAGTTTCCGTGCGGAATTGTCAGCGTCGAATGTAATTTGCTGTCCTCGAAATTAAACAGCCATATTTCCACGGCCGTCATCAGTTTTACTCTTCCTCGTTGGAAATGATAAGAAGATTGCTACCGTATTTTCATCGTGTTTCATACTCGAGCTGCAATTACACGAACAATAGACAACTATTCAGAACATAACCGCTCGCGAGGATATTAAACACTTTATTAAATTTCAGTGAATCGAGTAATGTTCCCCGGGGAAATGTTTTTAATCTTGTTGCGGCTTTCGGTTCAGCTACACGCTTCACATATTCTGGGGAAAAGAGACACTTGAATTTATCTACAATACAAGTATACTTCCTTACACTGTTCTCAAATACAAAATCATCTTTGAAGAAATAAAAACGCAACTACATCAAAACAATTCGAAACAATTATAACGTGAAACTCAAATTACCTAAATTAGTGTTACTTTACTATGAATAGTCTCCTAGCGGCAAAACGAACCGTTCATTGGAGATCGCGAGAATTTTTCTGAGATATCGTTCCGAGAAAATTCGAGAGAAATATAAAGTGGTAGGAAACTACCGCGTCCAATCCGCGCGTCGATCCACCAAAAATAGATCCGCGAGAAAATTTCCCTCGGACCGTTGCGCCCGTAATCGCGTCTCTGCTGCGAGATTTTCCAGTCGCGTGCTGCCAGGCCGCGCGATTCATTTCCTTTTCCGTCTCGATTTCGAGGAACGAGGCGCAGCAGCTCGCGTATTACATTTCTCTCGCGGAATCTGCGCGCGCCAGCGTTCACCTAGAGCAGGTTCGCCGTCTATACAGAACGTTCCACTTCGTTCAGTTCAAAGAAATTATACCCATGGCCAAAATAAAATGAAAATTAAGAACAAACGAAATTACTGTTTCAACATCATTTTCAAGATACTAACGATTAAAGTCTATCGATACCGACACGCGTGTCGAATCCATGTCTCTGTTCCTCTCACGATACGCCACTGTCTGTGCTCGCATTTACCTGTCTCACGTGCGCTGCTATTGGCGGATCATGGTTCAGATTCTTAACCGTTAATATTTCGAAAACTGAACTGGAACTGCAAATTTGTGATTTTCCGTTTTGCCTTACTTCAGCTTATAGAATATTCCCTTGAAATAGTTGAAATATCTGCTGCAATCACCGAGCACTCCGTGCATCTCTCTTACTTGTTCTTTCGCCTTTGTAACCGAAATTTTCAATATTAAAATTCCACCTCCACCTCTTTGATAACAGACACCGTGTGCCAAGAGAATTTCATAAAAATTCCAATCGGTGCCAAGGCACGAGTTCCTATAAAATAGACTTCCCTTTGGTTCGGAGTTCAGCGAGTTAACCCTTAACTACCGACGTTCGTCCCGAGAACTGAAAAGGAAATAATTAATAATGAAACTTGCCCTAAAGAAATTCATGAATAAATCTGATTAGAATAAATACCGCTGATTTGTTTTTCTGCTCTAATTGATAAGAAAGGTACATTAAGATAAATCGTAAAAAAAAGTTTTTTCCTCTTTTTCGAGCAACGCTTTTATTGCATCTTCAAGTGCATGCTAGTCTCACGGACCAACAACGGTGGTAAGTTTTTTGCGGTTCGGTAATTAAGGGTTAAAATCGAATTCGAGCAAAACCAGCCTCTGTCCTCGCGTTACGTGCTTACGTAAGCGCCCATGCGCGGATTTACGGGTGCGCGGACTGTCATAAAGCCATGAAAACACCGCGTTGCTTACGTTCCCGTCTTTTCAGTTCAGCTCGCGATCCAGTTCCGACGCCTGGCCACGGAACTAGTTCCCAGTCGCGAGAGGAAGCGCCCCCGAGCGTCACTCGATCCTGCTCCCACCGAGCGAATCCCGTTTCCGGCCGGGCGAGCCAGCCCTCGGGCATTCCTTCGTCCCGTTTCGGTCCAGTTTCCTCAATGGTTCAGTACTTTACAGAAGTTTCAGCAACGGGTTCGCACGATTATTACTGTCCCGCGAGCGTGCGCGCGAGCGCGCTTGCCACTAAAAGTATTTCCGCGTACCGACCTCTCCGTAATCCCTGTGTCAATAACCGGGTACACGGGTAACCACTTACAACTCTCGTTTGGAAATCGTTTATGTTGCTCTTGAAAAATCGTCGGGTTTCTTCGAATCCCCGTTCTACATACAGATAACACGGCAGGTTGATGTATGTTGCGCAACGATGTACACTTGAAGATTTCAAGTGTGAGGACTACGAATGAACGAATTCGTTCTATTCAAAACAAAAATGATTATTCTTGTTCAGTTTTCCTTCTATTCAATAAACGCTGTGCTCTTCAAGTTCTAACTCATTTTCTTATCGATCTATGTCTACGTCAACGTTTCCCGAGATGAACACTATAAAGTACGATCGCTGGTTCTAAAATAAACATTAAAACTCACAATATTTTCTGAAACATTGGA